AAAGGGATTCTTAAAAAGCCCTAATCCTTGGACACAAAGTCTTTTGATAAAGGATTATATGCCAAACCTTATATCTTCCCTTCAAACTCTCTTTTATTACTAAATTTGATTTTAATAATCATATTATAATATCTGGCAATAATCATATCATAACAATATATTTTTAAAAAACCTTGAGTAGACAAAAAAAGAAAGGAACTATCTACTGAGAAAAATAAAAAATAAAAAAACATTTGAAGCATGATCACCAGTTTAGTAAAAGAAAGAAAATAAAAAAAAGAGATGTCGATAAAGTATTGAAGCTTTTATTAAATGTAATTTCTAAATGCAAATAAATGTTTTAGTCGAATTATGATATTGCATAAGCCACATATAACTCAATGAGTTTGATTAAATGATTTTTGTAATATGTTGCTATTATATGATATGGTTATATTATAGTGTTATAGTGAAGTAACTGGAATACATTTCAGATATTTATTGTTTTGTTGTAGTGGGTTATTATATATTGTGATTACCAGAACCCACACAAGATACTGATCATGTGCTCTTCCAATTTGATAAGTTGTTATATTGTTTTGATATGGTTTGGTAATACAGAATGTTATTGGTATTTTATGTGTTATAGATTTTTTGATGGAGATAAACTGATTTTGGTTTTTGTGTAAAAAAATTTTGATAAGGACTGATAACTAGCCAGAAGATTATGATAAATTTAACATTAGTTGTCATTAGCAAAAAACAAAAACTCTAAAAAAAAAAATGATGCCTTTTGAGAAAAAGATTGTATTTGGTTTTATATATGTTTTTTGTAATGTGGTTAATAGTAATGTATATAAATACAGTAAAAAGGTTTTCCTTTATTTGAAGATTGCTTATATAAGTTTTACTAGAAAGTAAAGAGTTTAATCGAAAAGGTTTTTGCCACTCCCAAAGCATCCACCCCTCTATAGAGAGTTAATTAACCACTTGTATTCTATAGAAAGTTAAGATAGACTCTTCTTCTAGGAAAAGGTTCTTGCTTACTGTTTACTGTTTACTGTTTATGTCATTATCAAAAAAGAAAATTTTTTATAAATTGGAGAGTTGTGGAAAAGAGTTTTTTAAATAAATATAATTTATTATTTTAATACTTTTTATTTTAAATTATTGAAAAAATAACATACTTGAGTATAAAGTTTCTAATGATATTATTTTAATATTAAGTTAATACTAGATTTATTATAAGTTTAATATAGTAAATCATGATTTATATATTTATTAAGTCAGTATCATTTTGATACTTAATTTGAAATTCTACTTGAGTAGTTCAAAATTAAAGAATTTTTTATATATATTAGTTTTTAATAAATCTACTTATTATATCTTGATTTTAACTTATACAACTATTGGATAGAAAAAAAATTATAATAAAAGTATATACTTTCTAATAAATACTCTAAGAATATATTTTTTAAATAATATTTATTATAAATATAGTATAAAGATTATAGATCAAGTGAAATGCAATTTTAAAATCTTTTAATAAATACTTTAAAGATTTTTAATTAACTTAAATTGTCAAATATAAAGATACAAATACTAAACAAAATATAACTTTTATATAGAGAGATCTCTTTAAATACACTTTTTATAAATGCACTTATTATATTTTCTTTTTCTAAATATATAGTCAAGCTTAGTCCCAAGTACATAAAACTCTTAATAAAATTATTTCTATAAATACATATTCTCTATAAATACATATTTTTCAAAAAAATTTCTATGGTTTTGAGGAATGTGCATTTAGAAAGTGTTCATTGTATATTAAATCATTTCAAGATTTTTATTAGTTTATATATTGATATTTATATTGTATAACTTTTTTAAAAATAGTTTGTATTATATATATGATGAAATTAAATTTGAATATTTTTCAAAAACCATATTACTATTAAAAATATAATAAATTAATTGAAAATCATATTTAATTTGAAATTGTATTACTATATATAGTAAAGATTAACAATACAACCACATGTATAAGAATCCTAATGATTCTCTTTGATTCTATATTCAATTCTCAAATTTATATTAAATTTTGGTGGGATATACCTTACCATCATTTTTAATAATGTTTCAAACCTCATGCAATTCCCTGCAATTCTGTTCGATTCCAATTTTCATAACCATATTTGTATTATATTAACATGTTATACAATAAAATCTATTATATTAAAAAGAAATATATGCTTATATTAAAAATTAAACCAGAAGCCTTTTCTTATGCAACCTTTTCTGTTTCAATATGTTTTCAGCTCACAATTATCAAAAAAATCAGATATTCTATTTTTATACAATTTAACTAGATTTGAATGAAAGTTTGATATTTGGATATAACATATATAAGAAAATCAATAAATTTAATATAAAAAATAAAAAAAATATGTATTTTGTTTCCTGTAAATATTAAACTAGAAACATATGTTTGAAAACCTGGAAGTACTATCCACTGTCTATTGATTCACAGATCTATAATATTATTATTTTTTTATTTTTAATCTTTGAATTTAAAAAAAATTTGATTGTTTTTATTTTTTGAAATTTCAAACTAGGCTGTATTATATGTAAAATTCTTAACAAATTAAATATTTCTAAATTATATTTGTTTAATATTATGTTTTTATAAAATTAAAACAATTCTAAAATAATAACAAACTTTAAATCCTAAATTATTTTAACCCTTTAAAAAAATATCAAATACACTCGAGGAATACTTCAAAAAACACGGATTCTGAATAACATGTAATAAATATATTTGTTTTTTGTACCAGATAATAACAAAATATATAGATTTAAGCTCGACCAATTTTAGCAATGAGTTCGCTATTATATTTTTAAAAATGATTGCAAAGCAGATATATTGAAATATATTAAACGTTGACTGTTAAGATTTGCGTATGTATAAATATAATATTATTACTACTTATACAAAGTCCTGACAAAAATTAAGACTTTTTTTACCTATTATCATTTTATTGTTTTTTTGTCTTTAATAGATCAAACCGTTTTTAATTTGTTTTCAAATTCTTCATTACTTAAATATTGACTATTCTCATCTAATTCATTTGGAGAAACCAACATTCCTTTAACTTCATTGCCATCAGGATTGCTACCTCCCTTGTTAATAATTTCTACATAATTTGAAGGAAACATTCCTTGCTCTCCATTTCTCAATCGACCTCTCCACCATTGAGATGGTCGCCCATGAATATCAGTTTTGCTCAGAATTGCAATGATGTCTCCACGTCTTAAATTTAATTCTACAGGAGATTCACCTATAAAGTCATATAAAGCCCTGCAAAATTCGATATTTTGAGAGGTGACCATTTGTCCTGGAGTTATTGATTCAGAATTACCCTCTGGTGGAAGAACACTCATTTGTTGCCGTTGAGAAATTATTCTAATAAATCTATGCATTAAATATGGAATACCAAATACTGCCAAAACAAAAAGCACCAACAATCGACGGGAGTATTTCTTTTCCTGAAACTGCTCAAACTGCACAGGAGTCAGTTCATTAGGATTAACCGGAGGTTTCCTTCCAGTAACTTTGTAAATTAATTGTCTCATCCATCGTATCAAGGCAAAAACACTCAAAACCTGTCCTAAATAATTGCGCAAGTTCCCAAATTGTTCTACAACCCCAACCATTGCCATGAATGAAGAATGTGTAGCAAAAAATGTAGATTCTAACATTTGTGCAAATCCGCCAAAGGCATTTACAACTGATTCGAGCATATGAAAACCATTGGCAGTATTGGCTTCCATCCTCTGGGTAAGTGACATTTCATCCGGACCGCCTGGACCCATCATTCCACCGTAGCCGAAGCGATTATAAGGAGTGCTGTATCCTCCATACGAACTTGCACCATATCCTCCATACGAACTTGCACCATATCCTCCATAAGATCCATAACCTCCATATCGTGAATATGGTGAGTAACTTGAAGAGTATGTCCCATAACGATTATAAGGTGATCCATACGTATTATAGCTAGAATAAGGGCTATAACCTGTTGTTCCATAAGAGCCATAACCTATTAAAAAAACAATGATGCTTTACCGTTATAAATGTGTTGAACTTTATAATCTAACGAAGTAATTTGCTAAAGTTTGGTATAATTCTTAAAGTACATACTTCTATTTGCGAAACTGGAAGGCATAGTGGAAGGTCTTTTAGGAACCGCGGGTGCCGCATCAGAGATGGGGCTCTGTGAAGTAGTTGATACATTTGAAGGTTGTGTAGCTGTTACAGTGCCTTGGTTTCTTTCCCATGGTTTTGGAGGCGAAGGCATATTTAGAAGTAATGTAATTATTCAAGTTTTCATGAGAAAGATCTTTCTGTGGTTGAATTTTATGTAATACATGATATGATTTATTCTGCTATTATTGATATGTTGATGTGACGCATTTGATTTCTTAAAAATATTATTATTATTTTAATTTATATAATAATAATAATATACAGCATAACGTATACTTGCAATAAGTTAAATGTTAGCTTGTTTACAATAACTATAAATTTAACCTATATATATTTATTCAAATACAGTAGAACCTCCATAAATTAATACTTCATAAATTAATAATCTATTAATAATCTTTTTAAATTATAAAATTCTTTGGTATCATTTTCAAAATTACTATATAATTTGTTTCTATATTTTAATAATCTCCTTAATTTTATAAAATTTTGAAAAAAGCACTATGGTTTCAAAATTATTAATTTATAGAGATTCAACTATAATTTGTAAATTAATAATATAGTAATTAATATTCCAGATTCAAATTATTGAATTGAATTAAAAATAATATTTGATATTATGATTTGTTAAAAGCACTATTTTTCATATAAAACTATTTTTTTTTTTTTCATAATCAAATAAGTATTTATTATATTTATTTATTTATTGAAGTTGAAAATATACTAGTATAAGACTTTTATATATAAACTAAACTAATACTTAAATACTTATTACTAATTATTTATCACTAGATATAATTTTGGAAATAAATAAAGTTGTTTTCTTTTTTTTTTCATTTCTTAAAGAATTTAAATTTATTATTTATAATTCATTACTATGGTTTACTTTGATTATATTATATTTTTAATAATTTTTTTTTTTTTTATTTTATTTCATAAAATCTTTACGAGAGTTTCTATAACTGTATCTATTGTTAATAAATTTGTATATATATATATTACTTTTATTTTTTTTATTTATATACAATATAATATTTCATATTAAAAAAGTCATAAATAAGATATTATTTATAATTAATAAAAAAAACTTTATTAAATATAAGAAAATCAAGCAACTTTGTTATTTTTCAAAAAAAAAAAAAAAGCTTTCTTAAATACATATTTTTTCAATATAAATATATATAATTAAAATATATATATACAGTGAATTCTCTCTAAATGCACACCCCTTGGGACCATAGAAAAATTTTTGAAAAATGTGTATTTATAGAGGGTGTGCATTTATAGAGGATATGCATTTATAGAGGATGTGTATTTATAGAGGGTGTGCATTTATAGAAGTAATTTTATTAAGAGTTCTATGTACTTGGAACCAAGCTTAACTATGTATTTAGAGAGAGAAAATATAATAAGTGCATTTATAGAGGGTGCATTTAGGAAAATCTTTCTGTATATAATATTATTGATTCTTTAGAGATCATATATACTTAATTAATCAAATGAAACATAAAAAAAAAAAAAAAGAAAAGATAAAATAAACAATAAATGAAATATATATGAAACTTATTTTGTAATTCGTATTGATTAAATAAGATAAACACTATAAATTCTATTAGTATTTTATCAAATATCAATAATATTAACTTATTTAACTTAGGTTCTAATTATTACAGAATGTAATACTTATTTGGATATTTTATAGAAATATATAGTGGCCCCTGTCTAAATGCATACTGTTGGAACCAACAAACTTTTATGCATTTAAACAGAATATGTATATATACATTTATATATAAATATTCCTTTTAGTATTAGAATATTGATTTACAATTATCAAAAAAAATTTTCTTTTATAACAGAAAATGCTAAATTACTCAAGAAATTGCTATCTTAATTTCTTTTGGCATCTTAATAAAAGTTGTTTCTCTAGTCTTTTTGCAAATAGTTACTTATAATAGAAAAAAAGCTTTATAACTAGAATTTTGAGCTAAAGCGCTCTGAATTTGTAGTGCCATTCAAAATTATATAAGTGTTTTGAAAATTCTTGAAAAAAATATTAAGATACTATATAGAAAATATAATAAAAAATGATAAATGGAGATAAATGGGGATAATATATATTAATATCTATCAAATGCTATAAAATTTTTAAAAATTTTAGTAACAATACTTTTAAAAAATTTTTTATATTTTATTTAAATATTACTTATTATATTGTAATTAAAATCCGTTTGATCCATATCCGAGTGGTAGTTTTTAGAAGGAATTAGAGATTATATATAACAGTCCGTCGTTCCAGAGATAATCTCTCACAAATATTCCAAGGTACAGCAAAGATTCTCCAATGAATCTTTGTAACCAAAATGTGTTTAATAAAATAATAATACTTTATTATGACACCGAGTCA